ACGAAATGGATTTTTTTCAGTTAATTTTTGTTAATTCACAAAATTCATGTTATTCATGAGTGCGAAAACATAAGATTGACCTGGTCTTAATTAGTCAAATCTGCCACTTGTGGACACACTTCAGTTTGCCAATAGTTCTCTTAAATTGTGTCCCAGAACACTTGGTTTTTCACAAGTGCTGTGTGTTTTCCAAGTTCTAGAAGAAATCTGTCTTCCAATTCTGTATGATTCCTTCAGTACAACCTAATAGGTCAAAATTTGTTCACCAGCCTTTTCACATCATTAGGTTATATGGAGTTGATAATCTACTAAGCCCTTCATTTTATTGATGAAGTTAGGCTGTATGTGTATAAGATTTTTTTAATTAAAAAATGTAGGATCTGACATCTGTTCTCGCTCAATTTAACCTTTCAAATTTTGCCCTATTTTATGCTTTTAAAATTTTTTCATGTTGTATTTTGCCATTCACTATATTTGCTATTCCTCTTGGGTTTGTGTTTTTCTCTTTGGTACAATTGTTCCATGATTTTGTCTATGTTTTATGGAGGTTTTTATGACTGAGTGCAATACAAAGCCTCATAACCAATCTCTACAACCCTCTCTCCAATTTGGAATTAATGCAGGCTTTACTACTCCCTAGGTATAGTTGTTTGGCTATAAAACATTTATCACACAGTGCTGACTATTATCCATAAGGATATTTATAAGACTCGTACAATGTCTCTCTGTAAAATTCCCCATGTATTTTACTATTTTTTGCCCCAACCACAATGTCTCTAGTAAGGTGACAGGTGAGCACTACATGACTGAAGAAATACTCAAGTTTCCATCTTCTTCTTGACTCAGCAACATGTGAAAAAATTGATCATCCTCACTTATTTGAATCACTTTCATTACTTGCCTTATATAGTTCTGATTTTTTCCTATGTAACTTGGAATTCCATCATGATCTCATTTCTTAGTACCTTGAACTGTTACATACACCCTTAGAGTGACCTGGGGCTCAGTCTTTGAAACTTTTTTCCACCCTACTTACCCCTAATAATAGTATTAAAGCTAATGGCTTTTATATACTTACTACGCATTAATGATTCACAAAAGTGTATGTCCTTTTCACACCTCTACTCAAACTTCAGATCCATATTTCAAACTGCCAACTCAGTATCTCCACTTCTATAATGACTAGACACTTCACACAGAGTATTTAAGCTGATCCTCTCTTGCTCTGCTCCTCCCAGTGTTCCCATTTCAGTAAACTGTAAATCCACCCATGTGCAAAAACTATTACAGCATTTCTAATTTGTCTCTTTCTCTTACACCTTACACTCAATATGAAGCACATTTTCTCAGCCCTGCTTTCAAAATAAATCTAGAGTCTTGTACTTCTCAACATTTCCACCAGACTATTGCTGAGCGAGTCCTTGCCTCTCTTGTCTGCATTCCATCTACTAATTGGCTTCCCTACCCCAAACTTTACTCCCCTGGAGATTATTCACAATGCAATAGCTGAGTGACCCTAGTAAAATCTAAGATGAATCACGTTTCTCCTATGCCAAAATATCCAGTAGCTTCTCACCTCACAACAAAAGCTAGTCATTAAAATGGTGGACAAGATCTTACAAGATTTTGCTCCACAATTATTTCTATGACCTTGTCTCCTATAATTCTCTCCCATGAAACCTTTCCCAGCCAGTGTTTTCCTGTTATTTCTTGAGCATGGTAAGCACACCCAGCAGCTTATTGAAACCTGGTCTTGTCTTAGTCTAGAATGCTCACTCTCTCACATCCTTCAGGTCTTTGCTGAAATAACACTTTCTCAGTGAAGCTTCCCTGGACTACTCTATTTAAAATAGTGCTTTACCTACTACCCCGACCTGAGTCACTTTATCTGCCTTTCCAATTTATTTTCCTTAGTAGCATTTATCATCATCTTTCATAATATATATTTCACTTGTCCATTCTGGTTTTTGTTGGCATGACTCAACTAGAATTAAACTATATGACATTATTTTCATTAGTTTGGATCATTACTATATCCCCAGCAATTAGATTACTGTCTAGGATATGGCCCTAAGTATATATTTGTTGAATAAGAATGAAAATAAAGTGGTCAAATGAGAAATAAAATGCTTTTGTATTTGTACTCTTTGTTCTTAATGTACCAGTTATAGTTACCATATGGTTCTTTTTCATAAAACATTATGCTTCACATTTTATTCATAAATATGCCCACTTTTAAATGAGTAATGTCTATATTCAACATTCCTCCCATTATAAAAGTAAAGATACTCCAAAGATATTCAAGCTTCTCTTCTATTCTGCATCTTTTCTCAAGGACAATTGATATCATGAGGGCCTCTTTAAGGAATTCTAGTACTCTATGCTGAAATTCTTTCAAACATGAAGATTCAAAATCATTTGTATTGGACGGGAAATGATTTTCTTGATATGTTCCAAATTCCTCATCCATATTTGTCTTGTAATATCCACTTTGAAAAACTTCCCGCTTAAGAGAGAAAGTGTAATGAAATTAGATTTAGGTCACACTGCCATTTTGCTTGTTTGTTAGTTTCATGAGATCATCTGCCCCTACCAGTAAGCACTAAGGAGAAGCAAAAATATTAACCTCTTTTGATATTTCCAATAAGTGATATATTAAAAAGACATTAACCTAATCTCTGTTCATTTTGACCCACGGATTTATGGCAGTTTAACAATTACTCTGAATGCTTTCCCCATTCAGTTCAGATTGGATTGTTTAAAGGACTAATTTTTTTTCCTGCTTATTCAATATTTATAATTGTAGCTTTCCTCATGTGATGCCACAACTTTTACAATTTCTCACTCTGGGGTACAAGTTATTTTCTCTTTAAATGGTGATGACTGCTTTACCATAGTTCAAGATAGTATATCCAGTGAACATTTTCATCACTATGATACAAGACAAAAGTTATTTCCATGCCATCAACTCATATCAATCTATCCTTATTAGTCAAAATGAAGTGCCCAATAGAGGTTCTCTGATCTAACTTCTGAGAGATTAAATTGTTGCAAAGACAATTACAAAAATTAATCAGGTACTTTCTTTCTCATAATAGGACTTTTAGTGTACTCCCATAATTACTCTGGCTTGGCTCTATGTGAAATTTGTAATCTGTTTTAGGAAATAGTCATCCACATTAATATATATTTTTTTAATCGGCCGGGCCATTTGTCATTTATTTTTATAATAAATATTCTATTTATTTCATTTTACTGGATTCACCTAATGTTTATTAATGTTCTTTTATAATGATTTTTATGAATTTCACTGCAAGTATACAGAGGATTTTTTGTTTTTGTGTTTTTGCTATTTGGTGCCTTTCTTCCATTTTCTATTCTTTTTAGATAAGTTAGACATTCTCACTGCCATATCTCAGTCAAAATCCCCATCTTGCAAGTTTCTGGTGATACCTAGGAACTATATATTTTCTTTATGTTACAATTTAAAAATGACATTATCTCCTTTCTCTGTCTCTGTCTGTCTGTCTGTCTCTATTACCAGTATCAAAGATATCCTTTCCTACTATTTACCAAGTATTAAGAATTTATCCTCTCAACTTCATTTTCCTCCTCTGTAAGGGAGGAATGATAATATTAGTCTCAAAATACCTTTGTGAAGATTAAATGGAATAATGTAGACCAGGTGCTTAGCCTGACTCTACATAATAGACACACAATATGCCTTCAATGAGGATACCTCTCTTTCCTGTGAAGCCCAAGCTGAAGAAGATGCCCATTGCCCATCTCATGTAACAGAAGAGCTGATGTCATCATATACACAGTAGATGGCTGATCACTCCATTTCCGCTTAGTTGATTTTCTCTGAAACCCATGTTTATGTGAAACGTGCAGTCACGTGAGTTTGTCTTTCATTTTAAGAATATAAAATAATAAATTTAACTGAGGGGCCATTTAGAATAGTGATGCAAGAAATGCAGATTCTGTGGGCCAAGAAAACATTTTGAATAAGTTAAAAATATTTAAGATCATTTGCCAAATTACATTAATGGTGATTTTATTCATCACCATTCAATGTGTTTTACTGATATATCTACTACAATTGAGTAAAATGCACAAAATTATTTATAAGATTTTCTCAATAACTATGATGTAAAAATTCTGACATTTCCAAACCTTTACCTCTCTACTTACACATACTATTGGCTGAACCCAGTAAGATTTCTGAGTAGAAGAATAAAGAAAACTTAATATTTTAGTCCCTGTAGTATTTGAAATATTAACCAATATATTTAAAATCTTGAGTATGTTTTATTTTTTTATTTTGCATTATCAAATATTAATGCTAGCTTATATATGTTTTCTTATACAAAAATTATTAAACATTCTTAATTTTAGATATTGGTGACTCTTACAGTTACAAAATTTTCTTAGCACAGATGTGTATGAAATGAAGATACCCCGGTTTCTCCAGAAACTCCACAATACAATGTGTGTGAAGATTGTTTTTCATTGAAGAGTAGCTTCCAACTTGAATCAATCATTTCCTATGAAAATATAAATTATTTTGATTGAAACAGATTATATTGATTGAAAGCCTAGACAACAGTTAACCATAGGAATTATTTCTCTGATATTTTAGTATTGTCTGATGCATACAAACCAAATGTGCAATTCACTCACTTGCTCAACACCCCCTAGAACATACAATATTACGTTCCATTTGATTGTTTTGTAATATCAATGATTTGCCTGAACGTTTTCTGTTATCATTTTATAACATTATATGAGAACTCCTCCAAACAGACCCTTCATGCTTTTCCCTCTACCGTCCAGAAAGTTATTTTCAATTTGCTCTGTTATTTATGCAAGTTAAAAGATATTCTTAAAATGCTCCTATTTTAGTATTGGCAATTCAGTTCTTACATGTATGTACTAGTCACATTTTGAGTTGGCACCAATATTTTAAATCTTACAATAGTCATACCACTTTAAATATATCATTTTGTAGGTAGTGACAATTTGTTTTATTTATCCACAAGAGGGGCTTCGACACCTATCAGTTCAAGTGCGTTGGTACATTTAAGGCCTCTTTCACTCCGTTTAACTGCTGCATCTGACTGGAGCAAGAATGGTGGCAAAGATCTTGACCTTGAAACACTGGTTGGATTAAAGGATTCAAGTGGATGATAGAAGCCGTGGCTGGGTTTAAGTGAGGGCCAAACAATGCAGGGATCAATGCGGCCGAGGGCAGGGGCTGCAGCGCGATGTGCGGTGGGTGGAAGGGGGCAGCAGTGACCAAATGCAGCGGGTGACCAGCTAAGAAAGTGGGGTGTGCGGGGATGATGGTCGGAGTCAGAGGTGACAACGTGAACGGCGTAAAATGTGGCTGGGAAAGAGGATGTAGGTGAGCTATAGGGAGGGGACCACCATGGGAATTTATGGAGGCAGAAACAGCAAAATGCTGCAGGAAGGTGTGGTGGATGGTGGTGATGGAGGTGCGCTGGTGAACTGGTACCGTCTGGACCGCCGAGGCCGGAGAGAAGGCAGTGGGCCCCGAGGCAGGCACAACTCGAAGATGCTTTGAGAGGAGCTGTTTCTGCACGTGCTGCTGGGCTTGTAGCTGTAAGAGCTTATATTTATCTATTTCATCAGGAGAAAATGTTATTGGCTGCTGAATTAAGGGGGGAGAGCTAGATTTATGGCACACTTCTAATTCATCTTCTACTTTGTCATGCTTCTGCAAAGTTCTGTCAGAGTAAGAGTTTATATTCCCCTCTACGTGATTCATATGCATGCTTACATCCTGTAAGTCAGGATTTATTTGGTCCTCTTTGGTCTCTGTGGAATCAGTAACACCAGTATATCTATTAGATGGAAAAGCACCAGGGAAATCATTTGGTAGTGGGTCACGGCTTTGAATACAATGTTGGACTTCGCTAATTAAAGGTTTTACTGGTTCTTTTGTTGTTGGGTTCTTTTTCATGTTTGGTGACTGTGAATCTGCTACTACATGAATTATACCTTTAGAAAGATGGTTATCGCAATCAGGATCTACTAAAACATGAAAATTGTTTGTCTGTGAACTTTTGACTTTGTCTTTCTCAATAGTTCTTTGAATTGTACTGCCTTTATCAATTCTCTGTTTACTTGTGTTCTGTGTTTTTTCAGACAAAGGCAGTGCGGGTCTGTTACAGCCCAGTGGCGTGAATTGAATTGTGCATTGAATTTGTGAATGAGCCTCTGATTCATTTTCACAATTCTTTGAAGAGACCTCAAAATTAGTTGATTGTTCCTGACACCTCTTGGCTTGCGCTATTTCTAAAAGGCTTTTGGCTGTCAGGGGTGTCCTCTCTCCTGTAATGGCCAACTCTGTGCTTTCTAAAGGGCTGGTAGAACAATTTCTTAGAAGGCAGCTGATATTCCCAGAGTTATACTGCACAGATTTTACTTTTCCTAGGTCACAAATACGAGGGCTGTCCAACGACTCTTGACTTCTCTCGCTTTTACTTAAGCAATAAATTCTCTCTCTTGAGTAAGAGCCCAATCTGCTGTGCTGAGGTCCCTGGCAGTTTGGTGCTTCTTCACTATTTCCGGAACAGGAAACCTGTGAGCTAGAATCACAATGGGCGATTCTCCTGGATTTGGGCCCTGAAAACTGCTGTTGATTTTTGCCCAGTTTATATCTTTCTCTGCACCGAATGTATCTATGTTTTGAGGATTTTTCATTCTTAAATGATTCCCACAATCTGTAGTTGCGGTCTCTCTGTATTTCAGATGGCAGGCAGGTGCTCTTTGCTAACTCCTCAGACACGCAGAGGCAGTTCGGGTTTTGGTGTCTCCCTTTGTGCCTTTCAACTGGGTTGTGTTCTCTTTTACAAAAGTACAGCAAATTGCCTCTGCCCTTGTCGCTGGACTTATGAACTGAACAAGTAGCTCTCAAGCTGGCTGTGCTGCCAGGGTATGTGTCTGAAGGGCTAGAAGTTCGATTCAGAGACAACTTTGGAGAATTTCTCTTATAAGTTTGGTTTCTACATCTAGAAACCCTGCTGGTCATGCTGATGTGGTTCCTATTCACAATTACACTAAAGTCCTTCCCATGATCACTATGACCCCTCACTGGGTAAGGACTAGAATTCCAGGTAAATTGATTTGCATCTTCAAAATCTGAATGAGGATCGCAAGGGATCAGTTTTGGTTCTTTAGTCCTAGAGATGTAAGGAGAAAAAGATAGGCCCTCATTTACATCATTTAGAACTACCCTTTGGCAGCTTTGCCAATGGGTCCTTGAAGGTTCCTTAAGTCCATTATCACTATTATCATTGTTTTCTACACATTTCTTTAGAGAGATATCAAGGAAAGCAGGCACTTCAGGATTTTTCATTTCCAAATCACTTGCACTAAAATTATCTTTACTCATATTTGACTCAGAATCACTGTAGCCCGAATTACATTTTCTCCGGAAACTTTCCCAATCTGGATTAGCTATCATCATCTTTGGTTTCAGAGATTGATCATTTTCTTGGATCAATTTCTGTTGGTCTTTGATTAAACCTGAGACTTGGCTCTCTATTGTAGTCTTCATTTCTGAGGGCTCCTTAATCAATTCTCTTTTTAAGTCCTCTGAATCATGGTCACTCTTTGTGTTCCGAGAAAGCTTAAAATCAAAATATAATGGGTTGCATCCATAAGAGATACAGGGCTCCGTTTTTGTAAAGAGCAGAAGTTCCGTGGGCCACTGGAGAGTGGTGTGGCCATCCTTACTTTGTACATGGAGAAAAGGCAATGGTTTAGACTTCACGTCATGTGGACATGCTTCTCTTACAAGCCTTGTTGCATTTTTGCCAACTCTTTCTGTTTCATCTAAAGATTTTTCTCTCTTCTCCATTCTGGAGTTGGGATTCAGATGCACTGTACTGTTTTGCTTACTTGGCTCCAGTGATGGAAACTCATCCAGACATTCAAATATCCTGGCATCACTGTGCCTATAAATGTTTGGTGAGCTGGAGGAAGCATTTGCTTGGCATGAGTGATTAATGCAGTTTTCTGAAGTGTTCTTCGGTGTACCTCGAATTTCTTTTTCTCTGCTGCAAGGAGTAAAAGCCACATCTGAAAGATGAATATTAGATTTAGAGAATGAAGCATGAATGCCAATCGAATCTTCCAGTGTTTCATCAATAGAGTCATTTTTGTCTTGCACGATTTGAGAGCTGATGGAAAAGGTATTGTGTAAAACATGTTCCAGATGGCTTGGTGTGATGTTTATATCTTTTTCCTTAGTAAGAGGTACGTCCTCACTTGCAAACCTGCGGCACTTACATTTCTCTGCAGTTTCTTTTGCTTTATAGCTGGGGGACTTGTTACAATCGTGTGTTTCTTCTGTGTTCTCACTAAAAACTGATGCTGAAGACTCTAATTTTAGATGTACTTTTTTGGAAAAAGAAAATGATACTCCTGTCCTGTGATTTGCATTGCTGAGGTCTGAAGATGTCTGTGGTACCCGATTTCCGAATAAATAACGTCTGTCCATTGGTAACTGGTGTCGATTTTGCATGGTGGACCGCTGTTTATCAGAAATGCTTCTGGGGAGATTCTTTCCTTTAAGGAGAAGAGTGCTCTTCATGCACGATACCTTTCTGCCATTCTTAACTGGGAAAATTCCTTGCTGGAGTTGCTTTTCTATGGCTACCCTGGGAGCTTTGTATGCTGGTCCATTTCCAGAAACACTGTAGACACAATAAATATTTAAATGATTAAGACATTAGATTTGAAATCTCATGTATATGTGAACATTTCTTAGTGTTTCTATGATGAGTTATGCTATCTACAAACTATGTCTATTGGAATATCACCATTTCACTGTGTTTATATAACTCAGTATATCTATGTTTCATAGAGGCCATTTCTAAAATGCATCACTTAAATGTGCTCTTTGAAATTAGCAAGAAGCAATAATAGGTGGATATCTATGCTAGTGCTGCAAAAGAAAATAAAGTACTGAATTTACATCCCAATATATGTCCTGCAGAACCTATCAATTTTTTTGGAAATATAGACTTAACATTCTTTCACAAGGAGTTTTTCAATCAGTGACCTCCCATTAAATAAGAAATAAAATGGAATTAAAAGTCACTTCCAAAGTGTAAAAATATATATTTAATGTCATTTTTTGTATAAGTGCTACCATTTCATAATTTTTGTTGCCTCGGTTTTAAAATTTCTTCATGTTTGCTTACTTTGGAAAAGTGTGACTATTTCTTTCTCCATGACATCACCATTTTGACCAATTATAACAAATGCATAAAAAAGTAACACACATTTACAAGCCATCTCAGTATCTCAATTATTTGAAATCTTTTTTTTTTTTGCATCTTCCTCCCCCAAATACTTTCTTTCTACCTTTCCTGCATACATTTGTTTTACCTTTTAACAGCTTTTGTAAAGACTATTCATTCTGCTGAGCTTAATTTGTGATTCAATCTGAGAACTAGAAATAGCAATACACCGAAGAGATGAAGCTCTTTAGATTAAAATTGTCTCTTCTATGTTTACCTTAAAACCTCTACTACAAAACAAGGTTTGGGCGGAGGTGGGGTGGTGGAAGGCAACAGAAAACACATCATTTATCTGATCTTTTGCTTTGAGATGGCTTTCTTTTCCTTCTCCTTTTCTTTATCCACATGCTTGAATATGTGTCTGTTTGCTTCTTTCTAGTTTAGATTTTAATTTTATTGTATTCATTCATTTGTTACTTGAGTAAAGAATACTAATAAACTGGTATCTTTTCCATAAGTAGCTTAACTTCTAATGGAGAGGTATGTTTTCTGAGTCCTTTTCCGAGAAGTTCTTTCTTGTTGCCTTCACCTATGACTGATTTGGCCAATCAGCACAGAACTCTGGAATCCCTTTCCTCTTGTCCACCATATCTCATATATATAAAACCTTGGTTTGCAATAATAATTCATTCTGAAAACATGCTTGTAATCCAAAGCAATTGTATATCAAAGCGAATTTTAAGAACGATTGGCTCAGTTGTTATCATGTGACAGTTGGCATCAGGTACTACTCCTATTGAAAGACACTGCTTGTTTATCAAGTTAAAATTTATTAGAAATGTTTGCTTGTCTTGTGGAATACTTGTAGAACAAGCTGCTTGCAATCCAAGGTTTTATGGTACTTTGTTTCATTGTCTTTACATGTTTAATATCACAGAAAAATACTTACTAATCCTCCTTTTATTCACTTTTGAAAGGAATCTGTTGTGCACTTGTGTGATTTGTAATTTTCTTTTTCATTTATATATATTTATAATATTTACAACTTACATTTTTATTGTAAGTACTATCCACAATATATTGTTATTTTAGATTATATATATATATATATATATATATATACTCATATATTAGATGACATATATATATATGACGTTTTTACCAGACCAGAGTTACAGATTGATTTCTTGGGTTAATTTTCACTGGTACTGTTGGGCACTTTCAATTCAATTTCTTTAGCTCAGTTGTATTTTCTTCTCTGATTTCTCTGATTATTGCTTCTTCTATGTCTTAGCTTTTTATGCTGGAATTTATATGTTAAATGTGTTGGCTTTCCTGAATATATCTTTTAGGTCTTATTATTTATCTCAATACTTTAGTGTCTTTAGTCTGTTTCTCTAGTTCAGAAGGAATTTCTTGTTTTTAATTTCTGTTTTACTCTTTCAATTTTTTACAATATCCAATATTTCATTTACTATGCTCATATGGATTTTAACTTGTCATAGTTTCAGCCACCATTCACTTTTTAACAATTTCAGATTGTTCCTTCTTCATAAACAAATTTAGAATTATACTGGTCCCTTGAATCTTGTGGAAAATAAATTCAGAAAATTTTCATTAACTGTTCCATAATGAAACTTTCTTCTTACTCATTACATTAATCTTCTTTTCGTGAATCATGTTTTTTTACGTTCTTTAGAGAGGTTGTTGAGGCATTTTGATATGAGGAATGGAAAGGAACACACTAAGATAGTGTATGGCTTATTCAGTATTTCTTTCAAACAGAAAGGAAAATTGAAAGCAGAGAGGTTAACTGTAGTCATTAGTCTTTTAAAATGCCTGCAGTCTGGGGATAGAAGGGTAAGGGAGCAGAAAGATCTGCAGCTCAGAATTTTGCCTCAGTGTCAAAGAGTTTCTTTTCCATATTTAGTAGCCACACTTTTGAGTAAGGAGGAGCTATACTTCTTTTAAGTTACCTTCTCTAGGAACGTCAATTAATCTGATATTATCTGCACTTAGAAATTATTTCAAAAGCCTGGTGTATGGATATTAGCATTCTGCTTCTCATGATTCCATTATGACACAGATATGTTACCATTTTTATATTATCTACTTATATTTTTTTCCTCAATAATATTTTTTTCTTATTATCCTGGCACTGTTTTGTGTATTTTCTTGCTTTGATTTATGTTAGTCTAAATGTTCTTTTCTGTATGGTTGTTTTATGTGACAATTTATCTCTCTAATGTGCAAGCTTCTCCCTTTTATATTCTTTTCAATATTTTTAATCACCTTTGCTCTTATTGTTTTTATATTATATTTTGCTCTTCTTGTCCTTAATTTTTGTTCTTACTGTATAATCCAATCTACATTTATGATTATATTTTTTCACAAGTTGTAGCATTTTATCCTCATTATTATTCTTTTCTACCTCTAGGGTTTATGCTTTAAACTGTTTATCTCATTGCTTTCTAAACTTTAAGTTCCCTTATCATAAATCTAGTTAATTTTTGTTATTTTGGAAAAATCCCAATTTTCTATCTTTGTGGTTTTCAATTCTATTATTTTAATACTACTTTATGCTTTTTAACATAATTACAGTTTAATTTTTATAGTTATATCCTTACTTACAATTTCACTGTTTTCTCTAGAACTTTCTTTAATTTATTTCTATTGTCTACCTAATTATTTTTATTTATAATAAAAAAGTGACTATAAAGTTAGCCCTTTCATACTTATTAATAGATTGTCCATTCTAATAGGTCTCCCCAAATTCTAATTCTTGACAAATAAAAACTTGCACTATTTAATTACCTTCTTGTAAAAGAATACTTTCCAACCAGGAAACAAAACATATCAAATATGTTTGATGCATATTTTCTTTAAATGATATAACATGATCCATCTCTTATATTCTCAGAATCAGTGATCTTATACTTTTTTAAATTTGGAAAAAATGTCCATATCAGTATGCACTATACTTATATTTATACATGTAGAAGTTTACAAACCGAATGACTCTTCACCCCCATGCAGTAACTGGGCTTGCTAAGGAACCAGGTTGGGCTGAATTTCCCAAGAAATGGCCAAAGTTGACTGTCCTTTATAAGATTCATCAATAGTTTTCTGCCATCATTTTTTTTTCATCAGTCCAACTGCAATATTCTTACCACTAGTAAATTCTCCTCTCTTCTCCATAGAAATCATAGGAGAATTTTCTTGTTATGTGCACCATCCTACTGAGAAGACCTTGTTATGAGAATCATGGACAGAGAAAGGTTGTTTAGGAGAGGAATACAGATAATTTTTTTCTTTTTCATTTTATTTCTTACTTTCATTTTTCAAGTAAGCTGCCAAAATGAAAATATTAAATAATTCTATTAAGTGACTTCCCTTAGGCCATGAGCCTGCCTAAGCAAAAAGAACAATTATCTGGAGGGCAGAGGACAGGTAACAGCAAAAAATGTAATAATTTTCCTAGTTCCATGTTTTGCATGTGGAAAGCTTAACACCTATCATTTCCCTAACAATATGAGGGAAAAACAAACAAACAAACAGAACCTAGAAAGTCTGTCTATCCTATAAGGAATGAGCTTGAGTTTGTGTTTGTTTAGTTAATATGATTTTCAGCTCAACCTTAATCGAGTAGAATTTTTCATTTGTTTTAATTTGGAAAACACTTAACGGGTAGCATGGCAAACTCAGAATTTTTAAACAGAAGCATCATCATCATCACCATCACTATATCTCCCACAGGAAAATAAAGAAATGTAGAAGCATGACAACTTTCCAATAATAAAAAAGGATATATGTTTATTAAGGCTCCTAAGATTTTTTGTTGCATGGGCTGAAAGAACCTATCTAAAGGTTGTCTCTCTACAGTAAGATTTGCCCCCTCTTTTATATTCTCATAATAATCTCATAATAAATCACTCAAGAATTAACATATTCCCCACATTTTTTTCCCTACATGCTACCATAATTATCATTAGACCTTTCCTTCTCAGCCCTATTTTGACAAGGACAGTTTAATATCTTATTGACACTGTGTTCGAATAGCATAAGATCCTCATTGTATTGGCCAGTGGAAAGCTCAGTACCAGATGTGTGTCCCATTTCTATGACTGTGTAGGAGCTGAGGGCATACATTTTTATATTAACCTCACCTCTGGATACATGTTTTTCCAAACTTCATTGTTTCCTTATACCAAATTTCTCACTTATTTTTAATAGGATTATCTTCTATGTATTTTCTTGAGTTAATTAAATTATTCTAAGATAGTGGTACAAATACCTAAATATGTGTAAGGTAAATACTGTGTTTTTACTCATAAATTGATCCTTAAAACAAATGTTTCCTTAGAATCAAATTTGAGGTCTAATATATTATGGTACTCAATTATTTGAGTCATTCATTCTCAAATTTATTGCATTTTGTTTTTCATTTCAACAACAGGGGTTTAAATTGTGGCACAGAGCTATAAATTTCACAATTCACTAGGTTGCTGCCAACTGCATTAATTAGCTACATTAGGTGTTTTACATTATGATTCATATGAACACAAATCACAATGTGCAAACTTAATTGAGTTCCAGGTAACAATCTCCTCACTTGGAAACATTCAGCAGTTCCAAGCTCATGAAAAACAGCTATTTTTCAGCTACAAGAATGTATTAGTATAATGCATGTTATAATTATCAATTTAAATAGCAGGGTGTGGTAAATTTAACTGCATTCACTACATCATTTTTTTTGTTTTTTGTCATCCAGACAATGATAAGTGTCATTTATTCTAGGTTCAGGTATGTACAGGGAAATGCAGAGAAGATTTATTTCCTCCCCAAAAAGATGCACTGTTACTTAAGGTTTTTAAAATTATTATTACAAAAAAATAAACAAAATAAACATTATTACAAAACTTAAAATAATTACTAAAAAGCTCTATGGGACCATTTAAATCAGCTGGATAGAATAAGTGCTAGTACATGAAAATCATTTTTAGATCATTTCATGAAATAGCACATAAAATTAACAACATTGGGAAGGAAAAAAGTCAGATACCAAAGTAACTAATTTATTAGCCTTTAACTATTAAAACATTTGCCCTCGGGCGCCTGGGTGGTGCAGTTGGTTAAGCGTCCGACTTCAGCCAGGTCACGATCTCGCGGTCCCTGAGTTCGAGCCCCGCGTCGGGCTCTGGGCTGATGGCTCAGAGCCTGGAGCCTGTTTCCGATTCTGTGTCTCCCTCTCTCTCTGCCCCTCCCCCGTTCATGCTCTGTCTCTCTCTGCCCCAAAAATAAAAAAAACAAAACAAAACAAAACAAAAAATTGAAAAAAAAAAAAAAACATTTGCCCTCAAACATGTCTTTTGATTAATTATAATTTGCTTCCGTGTGACAGTAAATCAAGTAAATTTATCTTGACATTTCCCCAATGATTGAATAGACTTTTTTTTGGAAGAGAGTTTTGAACCATCTGAGATACCTCTAATTCTTACCATTCAGACTGTTGCCTTAACTCAGCCAGCTGGTGAAGCCTTTTAAGTGCTTTTTCTTGTTTCTTCTCATCTTTCCATGACTTGGAAGCTACATTTCGAGCAAATTCCCGTTGCTTTAATTCTTTCAGTCTCTATGGACAAAGAAGAAAAACAGAAAGGGTACTATAAATAAGTAATATCTTTTCTACCTGTAAGTCTCCTTATTAAACTTTGTCTTGGGTGCACAGGTGACTTTCTGGATAGAGAGGGTTAAGCACTATTTCCATGGGTGTTCTTCTCTTCTCCAAGATAAAGTTAGTTGTCAACTGGCTTATTTATCAAAGCTTGTCACAATCACTACAGAAATGTCCTGCCCAGTGCTTTTTGGGACCACTGTGGGTACATAACTGCAATCATTTATGTGTCTGTGAAAACATAAATGGCAGAACGTGTGATATGTGAATGAGGGTGAAGGGAGAAGAGGTTATGGGGTGCACTTTCCTCTCCCTACTGCCCACAGTCCTCTCACTTGTGAAACATGCTTAGTCTTATTCATGCAAATTGATACTATTAAATATACTGGGTGAAATGACCTTGTTTGATTTAAGAATATCTATTATTGGGAAAGATTCAGTTCAAAGCTCTAATGAGTGATTCTTAACTCTTTTTTTTTTTCCTGGTGGAGGTATTTATCCAATGCAGATTTCTATATTGTATCCAGGAGGATAAAGATAGGTCAGGATTTAAACTCAGGGAAGATGGTTGCTTGGCTTTGCTTGATTTAAATTAACCTACCACTTCTTTTAATTAATCTTTTCTCTAAAACAATTGACTTACATGCAAATTGGATGTTACTCATTACCTGTTGGGATTTCTACTTCAGAATTTGCCATTAAGCACACCCATTGATATTGAACAAATTGAGAAGCAGCCACAATCAAATAAGCATCTTGATGTTTGGCATTTAATCCTGAATAGAGAATATATTTGAAGATTAGTCTCTCTTAACTAAATTATTTAAACTGTCTGAAATCTATACCCATTCAATTTGTTTTCGTTTTCCAAATCAAGTCTAGAAGATATTTCCCAGGAATGGCAAAAACCACATAGCTATCAAGTGAGGTTATAATGCTGTACTAGAATACTGCCCACCCATGAAGTGAGGGTACAACCTTTAATGGTCATTAACGTTGTTCCTGAAAGGGAACATACTTCTGTGAGATGGTGGCCAGATAACCACACCTGGGCTAAGTATCTGAAGAAGGAGGCAAGACCAACCTTTCAAAGAGAGAATATTCTAAGCCCAATGAACAAGAGTTTCACAGAACTAGAAGCAGCCACAGGGGCAATAGTGGAGCCAATCTGAATTCAATTTTTGACAAATGCTTCACAGGCTTTAAAAAAAACCAGAAAATTTCAAGAATTAAAATTGTGGCCCATGTGTTTTAAACAAAAAAGGATCAACAATTCTCTGGAGTTGATAAATAGTAGAGTGTCTAAACCTTAAGGGACAGGCATGGTCAGAAGACAGAGAGAGGCTTTTAAAATCTCCATTACTACTTTTCCTCCTACTCATACTTCCTCAGCCCCCATATACATAATAATCTAGTCTTCCAGTGAAAGCTTGCCTTGTGAGCAAAGACCTTTTGGAAATTGTTCTACACAATTTAAGGGCCCACATAAAATGAAGTTCAACTGTGTCAAAGAGAGAATATGGCTACATAAGTAAAGAGCAGAGAGATTGTTTTTTTCTTTACTCTGTTACTACAGAACATAAAATACTCTATTATATGTATATATATATATATTTAATTTTTTTAATGTTTATTCATTTCTTGAGAAAGAGAAAGACAGAGCATGAGTTGGGGAGGGGCAGAGAGAGAGGGAGACACAGAGCCCAAAGCAGGCTCCAGGACCTGAGCTGTCAGCACAGAGCCCAATGAGGGGCTTGAACCCACAAACCCTGAGATCATGACCTGAGCCGAAGTCGGATGCTTAACTGACTGAGCCATTCAGGTGCCCTAAAATACTCTATATTATATTTAATATTTGATATGACTGGTATGTAAAACCTGAATAGCCTAGGAGAGGAAATTTGTTCATTTACTCACATCTGACACTTTACTCTCATTATTGGAATTTTGTTTGAAACTTCCAGGTATAACTCTCTTTCTTTAGCCCCCCAGTTTCCAGGGATGCACCTTTAACTCTGAGTTATAGAAATGAGTGAAAATTCTGTCTTACTCACCCAACAACAAATATTGTCAACTACTACTATATAACAAGGACATAAAGTTGTCAAATCAATAATTTTCCCTTCAGGAGATAGAGACAAGGGAAGAGGTATTTTCACAAGATAGTTTTGAGTTTCCCAATAGGGGTGGACACAAGATGCGTTAGAAGCATATAGGAAAAGTTAAGATAGAAGGGGGTGGGTACAGATTTGTTGTGTTAAGGAAGTCAGCCAAGTTAACATGTGTCTAAGGAACACAGAAAACTAGAGGAGATTTTGTTTAATGACATCTAGCCATAGATTTGGCTTAGCAAATGCTGAGTGCACAAGGCTGCACAGAGGGGGGAAAAAAAAACAGAGAGCTACAGAGAGATCCCGTCAAATTTTCAGCATACTGAGTTGCAGCACATGTACATGAAAAAACTACTCCAAGCCAAGAAAAGGGCCACCTGAAAGAATTAATGGCATCAGTGCCTGGCATGCATATAGGGTCAGGAAGAGTGTCTGTTCTCACCAACAAAATGGAACAAACCCACAGGACACAGAGTACAGAATTCATGGAAATCTTGCCTCAGTAGAGAATAATTTGCTGTGGATTGAGCATTACTTTGGATTTGCCTAACGAATCATAAAAGCAAGAGCTACAAACATAAATCTGACCTTAAGTAACTTAACTGCATTTCAGAACCAAATTTAAAGAAATTTATAGAAATACAAAAATATTCAGCAACAAGGAAAAAATTAATAACATCTGACATGCAATCAAAGATTAAGATCAAAGATTATCAAGAAAGCACGAACTAAAATGAGGAAAATAATCAATCAAGACCAATACAGAACCAATACAGAGGCTAGAGTTGGCAGAAAAGTACATTAAGACAGTTATAACTGTATCTTCTGTGCTCAAAAAGTAGATAAGAGATGATTGTCAACTGGACAATTATGCAGTTAGAGTCTCTGAAGAAGGAGGAGGGAATATTTGAAAATATAATGGGTGGAAATTTCCAAATTTCCTGAAAACCCACAGATCTCCCAACATCTCAAGTGCAAATAACATGAAGAAAACTATCCCAATGCTTGTTATTATCAAATTTTTAAAAATCAGTCAAAAAAGTGGAATTTTTAAAAGCATCTCAAGGGAAATGACATATTCCTGCACAGAACAAAGAGCAGGATGGCAAAAGAATTCCTCTTGGAAACAATACAAGTGAGAATACAGGGGAGCAGCACATTTAAATTTATGGAAGAAAATTAAAAACTTCTCGGAATAAAATTTTATACTTTGTGAAAATATCTTTTCAAATGAGGTGAAATAAAGATATTTTAAGACATGAAACACTGAAAGAATTCCTCAGCACACCCACAGGATAAGAAATGTTAAAGAATATCCCTGGGCAAAAGGAAAATAATACCAGATAGAAATGTGTGATTACACAAAAGAGCAAACACCAAAAATAGTAACTACAGGATAAATAAGACATATTTCTTAGTGTTGAAATGTACATAGACCATTTAAGCAAAAAAAGTAGCTATGTTTGGGGCAATTTATAACAAATTATACATAAAATGTTTGTCAACAATAGCAAAAAATCCAAGAAGGAGAAATACGTTGAAAGGTCTTATTCAATAATGAACTGGTAGATAACAATTGAAGGCGGATTGTGATAAGAAGTGGACAATATGGCAACCATTAGTCTAATAAAACAAAGTGGTTTAGCTAATAGGATAACAAAGAAGGTAAAAGGAAATCATTACATCTACTCAATCCAAAAGAAGGTAGAAAAAAGTAAAACAGGAAGGTAAAATAGATGGGACAGTGACAAAACAAACAGCAAGATAACAACTAAAGTCTAAATACATCATTAATCAAATTAAATATAAATGGTTAAAAAAAAACACTGGAATTGAAAGTTAGAGAGTATCAGTTTGGATTAAAAAGTGAGCTCCAATTATATGTTGGTTATAAAAACAAACTTTAAAATACAGCTACAATGGGTTAAAAAAATATAAAAAGATTTACCATGTCAACATCAGTGAAATAAAGCTGGAAGGACTCTATCACTATAAAGCAAAGAAGATTCTAGAGCAGATATACTATTAGGAATAAAAAAAGGGCTATTTTATAATGATATGGAGTAAATAAATCAGAATGACAAGATAAGCCTAGATGTTTCTACGTCTAATAACAAAGCTTCAAAATACACAAAGCAAAAGATAAAACTGCAAGGAGAAAAAGTTAAATCCACAATTATAATAGGAGTTTTTAATGGCCTTCCACCAAACAACAGAATGCTAATCACAGATATATATTTCTGGAAAAGGTTACACTGAGGTGACCAAAGCTCTTAAAAAAAGACCCTTCCAAAAATTGATTTGTCTAATGAAAAGAGAACTGGACAGATAAGGAAACCTTTCCAAAAACATATGGGTCAAATTTTGCCAACTTCATATTTTAGCTTGAGTTTTCCCAAGTTTCTACTTTTCTTCTCGTGTCTACTTATTTAAACAATGGCATGTGCTAAACTGTCAGTAATCTTACTTAGTTTAAACAGAAGACAAACCAATTGGTAAAAAATAAAAGTTCTTTGAGAGTATAGAGTAAATCAGTCCTTACTAAGAAAAACACAAGACAAACGTATTTCAGGAAAAAAAAAAAAATACTTACGCATTTACAGAGAACTGTAGAAAGCTCAGTGATGGTTAATGACTTGGGATGAATAGATCAGAGCAGGTGAGGTTGAATCTCCCTGGGGGAGTAAGGAAGACAGAAACTAGCACCTAACAATAGGGGGGAATTAAATGAAGTGTCTGCTTTCCAGAGGTGTTGGATGGTAGACAACACAGTATAGGGCTTAAGAGAAGGATTCTGAAATCAGTCAGACCTGAGTTTGTATACTGTCTCTGTCACTTACTAGCTTT